ACTCGGATTTCGGCATTCTTTATATGTACGGAACCCTTGTGACATATTCTACAACTTGGTTAAGATTACTATTTCTAAATAATCTTCCATCAAAAACTCATTTTTGATGCTCTTTGTCTCTAAATTGACTAGCCCGGATCTACGGGCGTTACATCTATTTCTCATTCAGATTCCAGTTGCTCATCGACGGGCAAAGCATATAGACATCGATTATCACTTCATTCGCGAACTTGTAATTGCCGGAAAGCTTCATACTCGATTTGTTCCTACCAAGGTTCAAGCGGTTGATTTCTTTACCAAACCACTACCAAGACCCTTATTTTCCATGTTTCGTGAAAAACTTTATGTCGGTCCGTCATCAATTTCGCTTGAGGGGTGGAGGTGGGGGTTAAACGAATATATTATATTTATTCAAAATCTTTTATTTATAGTAAATATCTTTGTAAATCTTTGTGATTATATTTTGCTTTTCTCCATTGTATTTTCTGTATGTATGTATACCCTTCAATAATGAGATTAATCTTCGTCTGGTGAAATCATTCTACCCTAATAACATGAATTTGAGTTCTGCTTCGTTTTGTTGGCGGGGAGATATTAGTCACACTTAGCTTTCTGTATTTTGTTTAATTTATGTTGTTGTTGATTAGTTGTATATCTCTATTCTTATAGGATTGTATAGGTAAATTGTTACTTTATTTATAGACTTTCTCTTGTCCTCATTTACTATTTGCTATGGAGATTCAGGTGTTGTTTGTGTTTTTCAAAAAACCACTTCTGACCACTTATTGCTGCGCCACGCAGCACACACGTAACACTTGGCCCTTCGCAACTGTTTGTTTTTTAGAAGACTTCTGACTTAAAAACTTTTGCGCGTGTGTTGAATGGCGCAACACTTGACCCTCTCTTCAAACTTTTTCACACCTTACTTTAACTTATTGCATCAGTCTGCAGAGGTTAAAAAACAAACTTTTTATTACATGCTGCAGCCGTTTGATCCTCCTCTTCTGCTACAAAGGGTAACAAGGTGGTCCGTAGACTTCAGACATTTTTCGCTTCGAAAAAACAACATTTTCGATTCGAAAAAACAAACGGAACCTCAGTCTCTCATCCATCAATACACAGTATACATTGTATTTTTGCTATAGATTTAATATAAATAAAAAGTATATCGGATTGAATAATAATAAAGTAGTGTTAATAATTGTTTAGTAAATATTGAAACTATGACATGATAAAATCAAAATGTCATTAAAGAAAAAATATTTGAATTTTTTATGCGTTCTTTTCGGTTTACTTTATAATCATTTCTCTCCAATTTAGTAAAAAAAATTAAATTAAATTCGATATATTTGATGGATTTTACAAATATTTCTTGTGTTTGAGGGGCCATCTCGGTATCTTCGAAAAAATATTTCTATCAAACGTGTTGTAGGCCTTCGAAATCCTCCAAATTAACGTCGCAAACAGATAATTAACCTTTTCCTCATGCCTCTCATATAAATACGGTAGTGTCCCCATGCACACGATCCCTATTGCATAAGCCAATAAAATTCGTATTATGATTCTCAATGGTAAATATAAAAATTTCCACTAAAAGGGTAATATGGATCCATTAATAAAATATGGGAGCTTATAACACCCTTTATTATGGGTGCTCACAACACCATTAAAAATGGTTCCCTGCCTTCTATACATTAGCAAATAACAAAAGTCGCATAAAAGACATCTAACAAAAATTAAGTGGGATAAAAAAATAATGTTACTTAAAACCATTAGAACGTGTTGACTCGTCCTAGTTGTATGTATTGGTTGTGATTTAAGTGTCACTGAAACCACCTGCTATGATTATTATAAACTAAGAAAACTGTGTTTAGTTTTAATTTGTTTGTCGTGTGTTGCGGTGACGACAATATATTTTTTTTGAATGATGGGTTGCATATGTAAAACATATACAAAATATTTAGAAAACATGTAGCAACTAAATGTCAGCCCCGTACACATCATGTCTCAAAAGCAAGGACCAAAAATGAGAAACAACCAAAATGTATGAACTAAATTCGGACAAAAAGAAATTAGCCAACATTGCAATTTAGTAGATAGGTACTATTTTGACCGCTTTGCTACACAATCCATCATTTTGTAAATTGAATTTTGATGATTATATTGATAAAACTTATGTATTGTTGAAAGTGACAATTTACAAAGTTCGGAAGTCGATGCGGTAAACATGAAAGTTTAGAAACTCGATGAGGCAAACACGAAAGTTTCGAAAATCAATAGGGTTGAAAGTTACAATTTACAAAGTTCGAAGTCGGCAAGATCAAAATGACATTTTACCAAGTTGAGGTGTAGTAGCTATAGGAAAAACTATTATATTATATATACTACGGAGGTTAAATACGAAACTTTAGAAAATAAAGGAGATGAAAATGATATTTTAGAAAGTTTAAAGTTGAAGTACTAAAAATAACATTTTACAAAATAGATGACTAAAAGTTGTTATTTAAAAAAGTTAAAAGGTTTGAAGTGTCCACAGAAACATCCACCGATACTTCAAATTAGT